TGGCCCACTGTGTTTTTGAGATTGACACCCCTGGTGTAGAGGGAGAAGAGAAGTGGAGACAGGACACATCCCTGGTGGGCGCCAGTGCTGACAGTCCGGGTTGAAGAGGTGATGTCTCCCATCCTCAGCTGCTGACTCCTGTCTGTCAGGAAGCTGGTGATCCACTGACAGATGGATGGAGACACATTGAGGAGGGAGAGTTTGGTGGAGAGGATTCCAGGGATGATGGTGTTGAAAGCCGAGCTGAAGTCCATAAACAGGATCCTTGCGCAACTCCCAGAGCCATCTAAATGTTGCAGGATGTAGTGCAGCCCCAGATTGACTGCATCATCCGCTGACCTGTTTGCCCAATAGGCAAACTGCAGGGGGTCCAGCAGAGGACCCACCATGGACCTCAACACCAGTCTCTCGAACGACTTCATGACCACAGATGTCAGAGCCACTGGTCTGTAGTCGTTCAGTCCTGTGATGGAGGGTTTCTTGGGAACCGGTATGATTGTGGAATGTTTGAAGGTAGAGGGGACTTCACATTGCTCTCCAGGGACCTGTTAAAGATTCTGGTGAAGACTGGAGCTAGCTGGTCAGCACAGGCTTTCAGACAGGAGGGAGACACTCCCGTCTGGGCCTGGTGCTTTTCTGATTGTCTGCCTCTGGAAGAGGCGGCTCACTTCCTCTTCACGCACTGTGAGTGTGACGAGGGGCAGTTCGGGGTGCAGACTGAGGTGTGACAGCGGTTGTTCGTGTGGTTGTGTTGTGGGTGAGAGGTGGGCTGTGAATGTGTCCCTCTCAAACTGGCAGTAGGAGTTCAGGTCGTTGGCCAGGTCTCTGTTAGGCTCGGCGGGGGGGATGGTCTCCTGTAGCTGGTGACGTGTTGAAGGCCTCTCCACACTGAAGCAGGGTCGTTAGCTGAGAACCGGTTCTTCAGCTTCTCAGAGTAGCTCCTCTTAGCCACTCTGATCTCTTTGCTCAGTGCGTTTCTGGCCTTTTTAAACAGGTCTCTGTCCCCACTCCTGTAAGCCTCCTTCTTGGCATGACGGAGCTGCCGCAGTTTGCTGGTGAACCATGGCTTGTTATTGAAGGTCCTGAAGGTTCTGGTTGGCACACATACGTCCTCACAGAAACTGATGTACGCAGTCACAGTGTCTGTCAGGTCATCCAGGTTCTTGTTGGCAGCTTCAAAAACACTCCAGTCTGTACAGTCAAAACAGGCTTGTAGTTCCTGCTTTGCCTCGGTGGTCCATGTCCTCACAGTTCTGACAACAGGCTTTGCAAATTTTAGTTTCTGCCTGTATGTGGGGATGAGGTGGACCAGACAGCGGTCAGAGTGTCCTAGAGCCGCCCGGGGAACAGAGTGGTATGCTCCTTTAATAACGGTGTAGCAGTGGTCCAGTGTGTTGCTGTCTCTGGTGGGACAGCTAATGTGCTGTTTGTATTTTGGTAGTTCTTTGTTCAAACTCGCTCTGTTAAAGTCCCCCATGATAACAAAAAGCGAGTCCGAGTGTTTCTGTTCAAAGCCGTTTAATTGTTCAGCGAGAGTTTGCAGCGCTTCGTTCACATTGGCCTGGGGGCGATGTAAACTCCGACCATGATGAAGGAGGAAAACTCCCGCGGCGAATAAAACGGCTTGCAGTTGATGAAAAATGACTCCAGATTTGGGCTGCAGTGTCCAGACCGGACTGCGACAGATGTGCACCAACCTTCGTTAATGTATAAGCATATTCCGCCGCCCTTTGATTTCCCCGATAGCTCCGTGACGCGGTCCGCACGGTGAAGAGAGAAGCCGGGCAGGTGAAGTCCGGCGTCAGGTACGGCTTCACTGAGCCAGGTTTCAGTGAAGCAAAGGGCCGCCGAACGAGCGAAGTCCTTATTGGATCCGTTCAGGAGGAGAAGCAGCTTGTCCATTTTGTTGGGCAGGGAGCGGGGTTCGGAGGCCGTGCTTACGGCTTTTAACGAGCGCGCCGGCCCGCTTGCCCCGTCTGCGTCTTCTCCACGTCCCATACAGAGCTGCTGCCCCTCCGACTAAAATCTCAATAAAAACTCTCTGGACTTCAGCAAAGACCAGGAAAAGTGTCCGGAGAGGACTCTCTGAAGCTGAGCAGCTCATCTCTGCTGTAGCTTAACGGACTCAGACCAGATGCAGAGAAATTAAACAAAAACAAACAAATTCCTAGGGAGCGCAGTGCCGAGGCTGCCATCCGCGGCGCCATCTTGGAATGTCCTTTGTATCTGCTTCTCCCCGATATGTCAGAGCTGTATTTGCTTTGCAAAATCTCTTATAGCAAGGGAAAAATATCAAAATCTGGCAACTAAATCGTTACCAAACAATTTCTTCACCAATATGTTTGTAAAGGTGTGAAATAACATGCCTTAAAATGTTGAAGTTCAATTCCCGTGGGAAACCTTTAAAAAACCTGCTCAAGTTAGGGTATCAATAACCGATTGACGAAAAATCGATTTTTTAAAAATCTGGCCTTAAGTAACTTATGAGGGGTCAAATCAGGGCTTTTTCATGATTCTGAGTTGATTGCTAGCATTTATATTTCACCACAAACACTTCTTTGTTGAAAAAGGCCACAATAACTTTTACATTTACATTCACAATAGCTTACATTTCACATCCTTATACACTGCTCAGAAAATACAGGGAACACTAAAATAACACATCCTAGATCTCAATGAATGAAATATTCCGGTTGAAAATATTTATTAATTACATGGTGGAATGTGTTGAGAGCAAAATAACATAAAAATGATCAATGTAGATCAAAATTATTATCCCATGGAGGTGTGGATGTGGAATGAGGTGGCGGATGTTCTCCTGAGGGATCTCCTCCCAGACCAGGGGCCTCATGTACAGAGGGTGCGTACGCGCAAACACTTGGTGTACGTACTTTTCCAGGCTCATGTTCAGATGTATCAAGAGTGAAATGATCGTGGAAATGTGCAGTCCTCCATGTCAACTCCTTGACTGGTGTACGCACGTTTCAACACGAGCATCTGGACCTGTGGAATCTGTAAAGGCATCACATGCGGAAACTGCAGTCATGATGTTGTTGAGTCTGAAGAAGACATAAACAATGACTCTTGAAGCTTCTGACATTGTGAATGAGAAATAACTCTGAGTGTTATATAAGGATGTGAAATAAAAGCTACTGTGCAACATAAATGTAAAAGTTATTGTGGCCTTTTTCAACAAAGAAGTGTTTGTGGTGAAATATAAATGCTAACAATCAACTCAGAATCATGAAAAAACCCTGATTTGACCCCTCATAAGTTAGTTAAGGCCAGATTTTAAAAAAATCAAAATTTTCGTCAATCGGTTATCGGTACCCTAACTTGAGCAGGTTTTTTTTAAGGTTTCCCACGGGAGTTGAACTTCAACATTTTAAGGCATGTTATTTCACACCTTTACAAACATATTGGTGAAGAAATTGTTTGGTAACGATTTAGTTGCCAGATTTGCAAAAAATCTCCTAAAATGCCCTTACTATTACTGATCATTTTTAAAACACCATAGTCTCAACAGTTTTTCTATTACTTTTTTCATAGCTAACAAGTTCAGCCAGTTATGTATTTTTTTCGTCTTCATTTTCAAAAGGTTTAACATTGCAAACATTTACAGCCGTTGTTACATTACTTTACTTTACTTACATTAACTACTTTACTCAATACAGTGCAAAATTAAGTTGGGATACTGTAGTCCCATTTATAGAACAAGATAATTACACACATGGACAAAACTGTTGGTACTCTTCAGTTAATGAAAGGAAAACCCACAATGGTCACAGAAATAACTTGAATCTGACAAAAGCAATAATAAATACAATTCTATGAAAATTAACCAATGAAAATCAGACATTGCTTTTGAACCGCGGTTCAACAGAATTATTTAAAAAAAAATAAACTCATGAAACAGGCCTGGACAAAAATGATGGTACCCTTTACTTAATATTTTGTTGCACAACCTTCTGAGGCAATCACTGCAATCAAACGATTTCTGTAACTGTCAATGAGACTTCCACACCTCTCAGCAGGTATTTTGGCCCACTCCTCATGAGCAGACTGCTCCAGTTGTCTCAGGTTTGAAGGGTGCCTTCTCCAGGTGGCATGTTTCAACTCCTTCCACAGATGTTCAATAGGATTTAGATCAGGGCTCATAGAAGGCCACTTCAGAATAATGCAGTGTTTTCCTCTTAGCCATTCTTGGGTGTTTTTAGCTTTGTGTTTTGGTTCATTATCCTGTTGCAAGACCCATGACATGCGACTGAGAACAAGCATCCTGACTCTGGGCAGCACATTTCTCTCCAGAATACCTTGATAGTCTTGAGATTTCATTGTACCCTGCACAGATTCAAGACACCTTGTGCCAGATACAGCAAAGCAGCCCCAGAACATAACAGAGCCTCCTCCATGTTTCACAGTAGGGACAGTATTCTTTTCTTGATATGCTTCATTTTTGCGTCTGTGAACATAGAGCTGATGTGCCTTGCCAAAAAGTTCCAGTTTTGTCTCGTCTGTCCAGAGGACATTCTCCCAGAATCTTTGTGGCTTGTCAACATGCAGTTTGGCAAATTCCTGTCCGGCTTTTTTATGAGTTGTTTTCAACAATGGTGTCCTCCTTTGTCGTCTCCCATGAAGTCCACTTTGGCTCAAACAACGACGGATGTTGCAATCTGACACTGATGTACCTTGACCTTGAAGTTCAGACATTAAAGGTAATGTCTTTAGAGGTTGTTCTGGGCTCTTTTGTTGCCATTCGTATTATCCGTCTCTTCGATTTGTCATCAATTTTCCTCCTGCGGCCACGTCAAGGGAGGTTGGCTACAGTCCCATAGATCTTACATTTCTGAATACTATGTGCAACTGTAGTCACAGGAACATCAAGCTGCTTGGAGATGGTCTTATAGCCTTTACCTTTAACATGCTTGTCTATAATTTTCTTTCTAATCTCCTGAGACAACTCTCTCCTTCGCTTCCCCTGGTCCATGTTTAGTATGGTACACACCATGTCACCAAACAGCACAGTGAGTACTTGTAACCCTATAAATAGACCGACTGACTGATTACAAGTTTGTAAACACCTGTGATGCTAATTGGAGGACACACCTTGATTAAACATGTCCCTATGGTCACATTATTTTCAGTCTTTTCTAGGGGTACCATCATTTTTATCCAGGCCTGTTTCATGAGTTTATTTTTAAAAATACTTCTGTTAAACCATGGTTCAAAAGCAATGTCTGATTTTCATTGCTAAATTGATTTCTTTAAATTATAATTACTTTCATCAGATTCAAGTTATTTCTGTGACTGTTGTGGGTTTTTCTTTCATTAACCGAGGGGTACCAACAATTTTGTCTACATGTGTAGGTACAGGATGTTAAGGGTGGTTACTGCCTTGTGACTCACAAGTGGCTACCATGTGAGCATACATAGTGTCCTCAGTTTCAAAGTAAATGGTCTGCACTTTTGCAACGTCTTCCTACCTTAGTGCTACTCAAAGCCCTTTACACTGTTACTCATTCACAAGCCGATGGTGGGACCAGCGATCAAACCACCAAACTTGCAATCAGTGGACAATCCACTCAACCACCTAAACCACAGCTGGCACAACCTCAGGGATTCAAAATAGTAGCCTATTGAACATGAGGTAATGAAATGCCTGCATCCATCGTTTCTAGTCAGTCAGTTTTTACTGATGAAACAACATATATTCCATCAGTCAAATCATTAATTCTGTTTTCACATTAGCTGAACTTCTTGTTTTTCAATGTCCCACCTGATAATTGCAGAAGCACTTCCTGGGGTGTAGATAGCCCCGCTAAAAATTTCTGACACATTTCATAAGGTTTGTGAAAACACCATTTCTGGCAAGGAGACCTGATGCCTCAATCAGAACCTCAGCTTTTGTCATCTGATGGACACCTTACTTGCCTGTACACAATGTCACCATCTCTAATAATGGATCATCATCCATCCATTATCTATACACCTTAAATCCTCACTCGGGTCGCAGGGGGCTGGAGTCTATCCCAGCTGACTCAGGGTGAAGGCAGAGGACACCCTGGACAGGTAATAAGTCTATCACAGGGCTACACACAGACAGCCAAGCACTCACACTCACATTCACACCTATGGACAATTTAGAATCACCAATTAACCTCAACATGTTTTTGGACTGTGGGAGAAAGCTGGAGAACCTGGAGAGAACCCACGATGCACGGGAAGAACATGGAGACTCCACGGTGAGAGATTCCAAGCGTCCTAGCCAGGACGAACCGGGGATCTTCTAGCTGTGAGGTGCCAGTGCTAACCACCGAGTCACCGTGCAGCCCTGGATCTTCATCATAATGGATAATTACTGTTGGTAAAGACAGAGACAAGGCACTGCTGTTTGACACTTAAAGTGCTTTATTTCCTTTGAAGGAGATGCGACCTGTGAGTGATCTAGTGGTCATAGTGAAAGAAGCTTCTTCACATTTTCTAAACTAATCGACTTTTGGCCCACCCACCCCCTCCACCAACATGTTTTAGCAACAGAGACATGCAACATAAAAGATCTTAACATAAAACCTTTTAGGTTTGTCGACTACAGAACTTGTTAAGTACCTCCTCCTTTAAAAAATGTACAATATTAAAGTTAATTTACTAAACTCCATTTTTTTTTCTTTGATTCATTTTCTGCTTCGATATATTAAGATATACTTTGAGGAATCAACAGTAAAGAGTAATCTCATTAAGTGAATATATCTAAATGATCTGATTTATAATTAGGCATGTTGTGGTCAAGGTTACTGGATATTCTTATGCAAAACATTGGATTCACACAGTTAAAAAGCAAACAAAAAAAATCCAAAAGCTCCAGACTGAAGCTGAAGAAACATGAAACCAAAGTTTGGCATTTTGTTGTAAAGCAAACGAGTCCGTTTGACACGAAGCAGAGCTTTAACTGACTCAAAGACCAGAGGTTGAGCATAATGATGATGAGGTTCAGCTTGTTTTCACAGTTTGAAGATGAAAGTGGAAGTGAACTGAAATGAGGAATCACTGAGGAGAAAAGGTCGTATTTTGAGCTGTGAGCTACTGAACCTTTCACAGTTGCTGCCTTTCTGAACTCTTGCTGCTGTTGGGATAGTCAACAGCCTGATACTGAACTCACATAATTGTTGGTATGATGATGGATCTCAACGACAGTAATTGCGACACTAATTGGAATGGGAAAGACGTCTGTGTTTCCAACTTGTGAGTGTTCACATCATCAGATCAACTGAAAGATAAACTATATATTATGCCTCAGACTAGCCAGCAGCCAATCTTTTGGCTAAACACAATTTACCGTCTAATGTGTGTTCGTGTCATTTCAGTTATGTTGTTGATCAGAGTTGGCTGTGTGAGACTTGAAAATACCTGCATTACATCTATTATATTTTACTGTTTATTTACCCTTAACAACAGACTTTGAGTAATATGAAATGTCCATTGTTGCATGCTTTTTCCTGCAAGCCCATACTTTTAAACTCCAAATCAGATATAGAACTCTGTGAAAGACTGCCAGTCTTCCAACTTGATTGTTGCCATAAAAAATGGTCACAATTGGAAAGTGGTCTTTTTTCTGTTTCATCAGTTGTATAGGAAAAACTGTTCTCCTATTGTGGATAACTTGGATAATGTTGCACCAATCAAAAAAGTTCATTTATTTGAAGAGATGTGGAACAGGATAATAATTTGAAGAACCACCCAACAATAAATGACCATTTGGCCAGATAAACAGGTGAAGCTTGAATAATTCTTTGAATGAAAAACTGAAACAATTTGACAACATACAAATCTGAATATACAAAAGCTCTAATTTAAGGAGAAGCCAACCTGCTATTGTGTAATGTGAGTTCTCAATAAAAATTCAAGGTGTTTAAAACACAGTGGTTCATGAACACAACTCTGATCCGACTTTTCCTTCTTTAGATTCCGCTAGCAAGACCAGACTGAACCAGATTGTTCCAGCTCTCTGAAAGCAGCTTTTCTTGACTGTCACTGGCTTGAAATTATGTGTTGTTCTCTGAAACAAGTCCTTAATACTTCAGTACACCAAAGTGCAGAGAGGAGAAAGCCAACGAAACTCATTACAATGTGAAACGTAAAAAAGGCCGAGGGCATCTTTGAAAATGCAACATGTCTTTACAAAACATACTTAATACCAAGAGTTAATTTTATCTGTTTGTTGCAGGAGGTTCTGCAGAACAAACAATTTGTGTTCACGTGTTCATGTTGGAGCTGGGTAACATGTCCAACTTTAACTTTTTTAGATTGTCAAAAAGGTATGTTGGGTGGTTGTTTTATGACTAATGCACGGTGCACAATGTTTCTTCTTACATTTATAATAAAAGCCACAATTCACAGAATTCTGTTAAAGACCCCCTCCAGTGAAAATCAAGTTCTGAACCTTGTTAACATGTCCACATGGTGTATGTTATATTCTGGAAGACGCATGTTTAGCAAAGTGAGCAGTCAGCGCCATGGCTGAGTGTCTTCACCTTGAAACTGCAATGTATCAATGACAGTCTCACAGAGTGGATTCAGACCTTCAGCACTTCGGATGAAACAAACCTAAAGAACCAATCAATCCTGATAACTTGCAGGACGGACCTACAGAGTTGGCTGCAAGGTCAAACAAGGATGACTGAATTACTCCAGCATTACAAAATGCCTTGTGTAGCACAGATTAGCTTTGCAGCATTTCAGCAGAGTTGTGGGTGAGCTGGTGTGCTTGAGTCGCAGTAAGTAGGGACGGGTGCATGGAGAGAGAGGTAGGGGTGTCGTAGATCTGCACATTCTTGAGGAGCAACAGTCTCAGGTTACATCGAAGCCATGTTAAGGCAGGAAGGGATTATGTTCATGAAAAAACATCTAACTCTGACACACAGATATGAGTTTTCAGGGGTTAAATCAACAACCGGAGAAGGACTTTAACAGTGCATGAAGAAACAGACTCACCTCCTCTCATTTTCAAAAGTAGTCAGCTTGCTGCTGGAATAAAACCTAATGCACAGAGGAGCTAAAAGTAACTTCTGCAGAAATAAGTTTAAGTTTACAATTGTTTAGGCAAACTCATTCTTCAGTCTGTATTCATGCCTGAGTCATTAGATGAGATATTTTTTGTGTTTCAGAATTTTGTAAAATTAATTTATAGTTAAAACATTTTTTTGCATTTTTTTGGCTGACGATCAAATTCAGCAAAATACTGTAACTGTACATTTGTGTTAGCAACTGTCTACTTCTGAAGACAATTTATGATTTATAACACTTTCATAACCATTCACATCCCATAAGCCTCATAAAAATTGTCCTGCAAAAGTCACTGTGCTCAGACTTTTCGATTCCTAGCAAGTGGGAGTTTCTGGCAACATGTCGGCTGAAAGTCATTTTTCTGTTCAATACACTAAACTTTAACCAGTCACCTTGAAGTGAGATGTGAAACAATTCTGTGATATGTGTGCAATGATACACAACAAGGTGCCTTGATTTCAGAAATAAATGCAGATTACATGTTAAAATCACCACAGTGATCACAAACTGACCAAAACTGCGACAGGAGTTCAACAGACACCTGTATTTTCTGTGGCTGCATTAAGGTGAAAAGAGGTCTTGTGGTTATCATGACTACTGAGTTTTGATCCAAATTGCCCAGCCCTGGTTTGTGTGTTTTGTCATCCTGTGCACTGACTCACTGGGATTTCTTACCTGCTGCTTGTGTGTTTGTGTACAAGTGAGTTGTATCTCTGCTGCATGCAGATTGCTCTGAGGTTTAGCCGTTACCATTCTGCTACGTTGGGAAAGGTAAACGTCCGATTCACCGAACAAAAGAAAAGAGTCTGTATACCTGATAGATCCTGGTTTAGCCTGAAGTGTGAGCATGGCAGCGGCTGCAGTGAGATCTGTGAGGAAAATTCAAGCCACTCGGATTGAGGACAGAGCCACTGGCTTGACTTGCATAAAAAAATTTACCATCCACTGAGAATCTGATTCACAGCTCTGTAGAAAAACAGTAACAGCTGATCCGTGTGCTACCTGCCTACCTACCCTACATCGGAATTCACTCTTAGCTTGTTTACAGAAGTCATACAAAAAAAAACATCTTAGTAGTTTAAATATGTTTGTCTGATAATATGTGTAGATTTGTCATTGTTCTGTTTTTATAAAAAAGTTTTCAACCCCATCTCTCTTGCTGATAAGTGCTGAAGTTGTTTTGGCGTTTGGGAGGGCCAACATAGCCGCGCCGCCTTTCCTTTGGTTGCCAGGTGATCTAACCTGCTCTCCTGCAGGTGAACTTTGACTTCTGGAGGTGTTTTTCAGTCCAGCTCCACGGCCTGGCCACTACATCCATCTGGTCTGATAGTCCGGCTCCTTGTCCTGTCGTTGTCTGACCAGTGTCCGCTCAGATCAGAACCGTCTGTTGTCAATGATGCACTACCTCAAGAGCACTGAGCACACAGTTTAGATGTTCACATGTTCCTCGATTCACCACATGTTACACTATGTGCTGCTCACCAGTTTACTGGACAGCCTGAATTCTATGTGTGTACATTTAACCACTGTGATAGTTACCTCTGAGGATTTTGACTGTCCAAACTCTCACTTTACTGCTCACGATTTGGCATCAATTACACAGGGAGTAAAATGTGTGATCAAGTGGGTTAATTTCAGACAGCCTCTCTCATGTGCTAACTGTCCTAACTTCTGATTCGAGGAGCTCATTAACTGTTAACTCGCAAAGATTTCACAAACTAGTCTCAAAGCACTAAAGTGTTCCTGTTGCACCACTTTAAATATAGGTTACACTTTTTCTGGCTATTAAGTGTGTCTGCTTAAAAAAAAAAAATAGAACTGAGGTTAAAAGGTGAACATAAACTGCTAACTACAGATGGCGAGTAAACTCTCAACAGCTACCTCTATATCGCAGTGGAGTTTGGAGGTGCTGCAACCTAACCTAAATTAGCTAAAAAGAGCTTTAAAAGCATCAGCTCAAACTTGAGTTTATTTACTTTGCAAACACTTGCATTTGCAAAATACGTCTGTGGAATCAGTCGGTCAGGAAAGTACAATTTGTACACAGTAAAAATATCTGTTAGAACCCAACCGAATAGACTTTCTGTGCTTCCTTTAGCAGAATGAACACCTACAACATTCCTGAATTAGCACTGCGCTAACTACATTAGCACCATCAGGAAGCGGAGGTCTGTGGTAGCATTAAAGCACTGAAACAATATTTCTACATGTTAATTTTCTGTTTTGATCAAAGGAGAATAGTTTGACAGGATTAAAGCAGAGTGCGGCAGATGTAGCACATCATTGACGGGAACAGACGCTGCTGGCTGGGTCTCAACACAGTCTGGACCTTGTTGAACAATAAGCTTCTGTCTTCTGTCACACATTGTCAGAGCAAGAAAGTGTCTGAGAAAAACTAGCTAAGAAACAATAAAGACATGCCAGTTTATAAAAAATATCTGAGTAGACTGACAGATCTGTGTGGGTGAATCGGAGCACCCGGGTGGTACTGTGCTGTGCTGCAGCTGTATTGCGTAGTGATGAGAGGTAACTGAGCTGTGTAGCTTATCTGAGACTGGACACCGTCCAGTTTTCCTGCTGTGAGTTTGTTCGACTTACAGGCTGCCAGACAGTCCAATCGAATCTATGAAATCCTTAGAAAATGAGTTCAAATGCCACAATACTCTAACATGAATCTGAAGAATTTATGCTTGTTCTACAGCTGAAGTAACCAACCCAGTGTGACTGGAGTTCATCGCTTTTCTCTGTTTGTCCTGCATGAAGTATGACACAAATGAGCATGGAAATTAAGCTGTATCAAAGTGTGCTGATTCCCAGAGCTGCGACAAGCATCCCATGTCCTTCTTCCAGTCAGGCAGTGCACGTTGACCTGGACAGGGACGAGGTCTAAGGTCCCTTCTGTCGGGCGCTCTGATTTCATTGAGCTAAAGTCCTGCACGTACATCAGGTTGCATTCACTGGAGAAGCCCTTGGAACTCAGTCAGAAGCTGTGGGAACAGCTAGCATTTAAAAAAAAAAAAAAAAAAAAAAAAAAAACATTTTGAAAGACGTTTGCTGCAAATATGACTGCAACTACAAATTATTTTCATTATTATCTGACTCAATTATTATTTTTTCGATTCAACATTGAGTTTAAATATTTAAATGATTACATATCAAATCATTTAGCTGAGCTGAAGGTGATATTGAGCAAAAGTCTTAAATCCCTCTATCCTCACCCTGATATTCAGTTGACACATTTTGTTTAAAAAATTTGAATTCAGATTGTAAAAAATAAAAACAGCTGCTGACCATTTTGCTGTCAGTTGACTAATCACTTCCATGTCAAATTCTTTCGACTGACACACTTTTCCACTTCAGATTTTTTGGTTTCCATCCACCTTCTTCTACATGTTTACAATTTGTACCAAGAAAATCCTGACTGAAAACAGCAAAGATTTGACAAAAATGATAAAATGTGAGAAAGTGAAATGGATTGTTATTATATTTTTTCCAACCCAGCTTTGTTTACAATGTTATATGTACAGTTTACATATTAAAGCCAGTGGAGTATTTCAGTGATATTTCTGTGCAATATTTTGAAGTACGTTCAGACTGTTTGTTGAGTTCAGAGACGATCCACAGAATCCAGACATTAACTGGAACAAGTTTAAGGTGCTGCTCTCCTGTTGACCAGGACGAACACAGGATTTTATGTTAGAATATTTATTTAGGGGAATTTTTGACTTTTTGCTGTCATTTCTTACTGGACACAATATCTGTGGATCCATTTTGAGATCTGAACATTCAAAAGTTTGATGCTGCACGTGGGTAAATGATTTTAGTTTTTCTGCATGTGAAAGCACAGGTAAGATGTAATGAAGCTGCTGGCAGCAGAAGTGACTAAAGTGAAGACGCAATGCTTACTCGATTAATCATCACGTCAGAGTCAAGTCAATCAAAAGACAAATTTCCAATTATCTTCCGTAACGTGCTATGAAAATGTTAAAAAGGTTAAAACCTGTTAAATGTTAAAAACCTCTGGAATCTGGATTCAATGATCATATCTGTAAAATGAAGGAGAACAGTGTGTGATCGCAGTTTTCTGGACTACGCTGTATGGTGAGTGTGAGATAGTGTAGTGTGACAAACACCAAAAAAAAAACACAGGAAAAGATCAGGAACTCCAATCACACTGGAACTGTACTTCAGCAGTTCAAGTTTTGTCACTGAACCTTTTGGTGCAACTAAATCTTTTTACGCCATTGTGGCACTGAAGAGCGCATAAGATTATTATTTACCCGACTGCTCCAGATTGTCTCAAGGCAAATACAAAGGATTTGAACTGTTAAACTGGCACTGAGTAGTTTGGCAAAGTCTTCAGACAGACTGTTGTGATGCTGCATTGTGAACCTGTAAATATAAAAGTAGAAATCTGTAACATAAACTAGACGGAGGCAAACGAGAACCACTGAACTGTGTGGTGTATGAGGTTGTTTGAGTGTGTGGCATTTCTTCATATTAGCTTAATCTGTTCGGTTTGGTTAGTGAAGGTAGATGCGGTTTAAAGCGGAAAAATCTCTGTTCCGACTCCGAGGTGTCCTTTGACTTCAGTGGGTTCAGCATCCTGCTGGCTTCAGTTACAACAGGATCAGACCGGCCCTACGTGCCTGCAGCCCCCCACCCTCCTCCCTCTGTTAGGGTCAGTCCGGCCCCGTAGTGGAAACTGAGGCTTGAGGACCCTCTCCATACTGACCTCCACCGCTGCTGCTTCCACCGCCGCCTCCCCCACCTTCAGGCTCCTCCTGACTGGGAGAGGCCTCGTCGCTTGGACCGCCCCTGGATGTGACAGAGGCCGTGGTAGTCTCAGGGGAGGCGCTGTGGGCTTCCTGGGGGGTGCAGCCTGGGTGGTTTTTGCGAAAGTGCTGGTTGAGGATGGCCTGGAAGGGGAAGCTCTTGCCGCAGACATGGCAGTGAAAGGGTTTGTTACCGGTGTGCTTGCGGATGTGATACTCCAGCTGGTCTTTGCGGGTGTACTTTTTCCCACAGATGCGGCAGACGAATGGCGTGATGCCCATGTGCAGGCGCATGTGGCGGTCTAGGCTGCCTTTCTGGTTGAAGGACTTGCAGCAGTAGATGCAGGTTAGACGAGGGTTGTAGCGGAACCAGCGGTCTCCCACCTGCTCCCTCAGGTAGTCCTCGTAGCTGCCCATATCAAATGCTGCATGCTCCTCCCCCTGATGGATAGAAAAAAATGTTAATACAGCAGACCAGGACAGGACCAGGACCGACGGTCGCTGCTATAGACAGCGGGAGCTGCTACTCCAGTTAATACGGCAATAACTCCACTCAGTCGAGCCAATCAAATCGCTTGGTTACCCTGCACTGCCAGTGCACCACCACAGCTCGCTGCCGCTGCCACTTTGCTCTTGCCTGTACAGCAGAGCAGAGAGGAAGAGACAGTGATGACAGCATGGCTTGCTCCAAGAGAAGGAAGGTTGATGAGGAAAACTGCTGCTTTGAAGATGAGTGGATCGAGAAATGTATGTTCATTCTTCTGTCAGGCAGTTCACAACCAGTGTGCCTCATAGGCTCTGAAAAGGTGGCATTAATTAAAAGTGGCAACATGAAGCGCCACTATGAAACAAAGCACAGCTCTTTTGAGCAAAGCATCTATCCGACTCATCATGCACATTTACAGCCCAGCAACGTGCAAATGAAACCTTTTGTTTATTGTTTTCTGAGGATGTTGACTTTTTTACTTGAAGTGACGGCCTTCAGTTCTTTAGGCTGCGACCTCTTTAATTTAAGAGATAAAAAGGTTATTCAGCTCTGTTTGCACTTTTTAAAATGCATTTTATTCTGAGGTTTTTGTTTTCTCTAATCTGAAATAAAGGCCTCAAATTTTTTTTTATATTGGTGATTTTCAACTACAAACTACACTTTGTTATTATGTAATTGGTATGGCAACGCGCCAGCGTGCTACATACTCCAGGGACTTCCTGCTACAGCTTCGGCTTCACGCTAACCAAGCGTCTGAAATACAGTTGTGACTTGATAATCCGACACTAAATGTAATACCTTCTTTTATGTCGGATAACAAGGCTGTCAGATTGTCAAGATGGAGCTCAAGATACAAGGAGGGCTTGTAGTTTGAAGGATAATTTGTTGTTAATATTCATTGTTTATAGTTGTTATAATAACTATTGTATTGCTAGAACACTACTCATCGCTGGATTTCACACCTAATTGACCAGTGCACTTGTGCACGGGTCCATCGGTTGATATCAAAGGTAAATATGTTCAAACAGCAGGCTGAAGTGACCCAAATCCGATTTTTTTCCCTCCTATGCAATCTGTATCTGATCTTTTCATGACAGTCTGAACAATTTGATGATGGTTTATTGTTGTTTTTCTTTTGGGTTTTTTATTTATTTATTTATTTTTTATGTCTCTATACTAAATACTCAGTGAGCTTTTGAATTGCCCCTAGGGGATAAATGAAGTTGAACTGAATACACTGCTTTGAGAGTAGTTACTTAGGGAGGACAGGTAGTTTCTGAGGGAGTGGAAGTGGTTCTGATGCACTTCAGGAATCCCTACTGGCTTTTGGGGATTCGGATGGATGTAAAGATTCTTTAAGTCACTGTACAGGTCTGGGTTTACTTTAAATTTTCACCCTTCTGAATGATGTGCCTCAGATTAAACAAGATTTAGGACTTTATCCAACAGACACAAGTTTGTGGAAGTGAGCCTGTTAGAAGACAGGATCTACTTGTTGGCAACTCAGCTAATGTGTTGACTTCACTTACAGTAATTTGTGTTTGTACCTGTGAGCTTGGCTGTCGCAGCTCATCCGCCCTACTGGGAGACTCACTCTTCGCTCGTTGACGCTCTGCAAGGACGACCACACTGCCTGTGGGACTGAACCTGACACACATAAACACACGTTATCAGGTGTCCACAGACCAGTTAGTGACACGTGGAGGGGAGTCATCACAGTGACTCACCTGTCGGTCTCACTGAAGCTAGAGGATGGTTGGACGCTGCGAGTGCCCAGTGTTCCCACCGGCCCTGTCACCAGCGTGCTGCGTCCTGATGTGTCGATCATCACGGTAGCCCCCTCCTCCACTGGGCCCCCTTCCTCCTGGTGCTCTCCTGCTCCAATCCACTCCTCCATCCTCTCGGTCTTGATCCGGACTCCGTCAACGCTGCCGCCCTCCTCAGCACTGCCAGTCCGCTCTGGTTCACTGCTTGTCTCCACGTACCACTGACCGGCCCGGTTGATGCGGAGGATTGGCTCTTTGCCAGCTCTGCTGCTGGTGGTCCCAGGCCCCTCCAGCCCACTGTGCTCTACAGTTGGTGGTGGGCTGAGTGGCTCTTCTGCTGGGCTGACTGCCTCACATGCCTCTGTGCCTCCCCGTGGGCCGAGTAGCCGCAGACCCCCATGGTGACCCCCTCCTCGCACCACCGCCTCCAGGGTCCTACCTCCCCTCGAGCCCCGCACCGCCTCCTCTTCCCTGGACTCCTCATCCAGGTCGGCCAGGCTGATCTTTAGGTGGATACCCTCCAGGATCTGGGTGCAGCGGTCGATGATGTGCTGCATCTGCAGGAAGCTGGCCGCCGTCAGGTAACTGATGATGTCCGCAAGCTGCAGGCAGAGGCGGCCTGTGTAGCAGAAAGACAGCAGCTGCTCGAAGACTGACGGATTGCGGATCACTGTCAGCGACACGGTGCTCATCTGGCTCAGAGACATGTGGTCTCGGAAGTACGGTGAGCTGGCAGCGAGGACCACCTTGTGCGCACGGAAGCTCTGACCCTGAACGTTGACCACGATGTCGCAGAGGCGGCCCTGAACACGCAGCTGGTTCAGGTGAGACAGAACTGAGTTACTGAAGTCTGGGATGTCCAGCTGAATGCTTCCGGAGCGCTCCATGCTGCAGCCTGCAAGTACACTGCAACAACATGTGACAACATGTCAACCAGGACCAGAAAAGGACACGAGTCTTTACTACAGTCTGTAATTGATGAACAGTACTGTGTAGTTTGTTAACCCCTTTACAAGGCACTTGTAAGCTTCTAATTTCACATACACACGTGGACAAAATTGCTGGTACCCCTCAGTTAATAAAAGAAAAACCCACAACAGTCACAGAAATTAATCTGATAAAAGTAATAATAAATAAAAATTCTATGAAAATCAGACATTGCTTTTGAACTGTGGTTCAACACAATTATTTAAAAAAAATAAACTCATGAAACAGGCAGGGACAAAAATGATGGTACCCCTAGAAAAGACTGAAAATAATGTGACCATAGGGACATGTTCAATCAAGGTGTGTCCTCCAATTAGCATCACAGGTGTCTACAAACTTGTAGTCAGTTAGTCGGCCTATTTATAGGCTTACAGGTAGTCACTGTGCTGTTTGGTGACATGGTGTGTACCATACTAAACATGGACCAGGGAAAGCGAAGGAGAGCGTTGTCTCAGGAGATTAGAAAGAAAATTATAGACAAGCATGTTAAAGGTAAAGGCTATAAGACCATCTCCAAGCAGCTTGATGTTCCTGTGACTACAGTTGCACATAGTATTCAGAAATGTAAGATCTATGGGACTGTAGCCAACCTTCCTTGACGTGGCCGCAGGAGGAAAATTGATGACAAATCGAAGAGACAGACAATATGAATAGTAACAAAAAAGCCCAGAACAACCTCTCAAGACATTAAAGGTGAACTCCAAGGTCAAGGTACATCAGTGTCAGATCGCACCATCCGTCGTTGTTTGAGCCAAAGTGGACTTCATGGGAGACGACCAAGGAGGACACCATTGTTGAAAACAAATCATGAAAAAGCCAGAATGGACAGACGAGACAAAACTGGAACATACTGGCAAGGCACATCAGCTCTATGTTCACAGACGCAAAAATGAAGCACATCAAGCAAAGAATACTGTCCCTACTGTGAAACATGAAGGAGGCTCTGTTATGTTGTTGGGCTGCTTTGCTGCATCTGCGTCTTGAGTCTGTGCAGGGTACAATGAAATCTCAAGACTATCAAGGCATTCTAGAGAGAAATGTGCTGCCCAGTGTCAGAAAGCTTGGTCTCAGTCGCAGGTCATGGGTCTTGCAACAGGATAATGAACCAAAATACACAGCTAAAAACACCCAAGAATGGCTAGGAGGAAAACACTGGATTATTCTGAAGTAGCCTTCTATGAGGCCTGATCTAAATCCTATTGAACATCTGTGGAAGAAGCTGAAACATGCCGTCTGGAGAAGGCACCCTTCAAACCTGAGACAACTGGAGCAGTCTGCTCATAAGGAAGTAGGACAAAATACCTGCTGAGAGGTGTGGAAGTCTCATTGACAGTTACAGAAATCGTTTGATTGCAGTGATTGCCTCAGAAGGTTGTGCAACAAATTATTAAGTTAATGGTACCATCATTTTTGTCCAGACCTGTTTCATGAGTTTATTTTCTAAAATAATTATGTTAAACCGCGGTTCAAAATGTCTGATCTTCATTGGTTAATTTTCATAGAATTTTTACTTATTATTATTATTTACTGAGCGGCACCAACAATTTTGTCCATGTGTGTATTTGTACCTTATGCAGTTGTGCTCATAAGTTTACATACCCTGGCAGAATTTGTGGTTTGGCCATTTTTCAGAGAACATGAATGATAAGAGAAAAAACTTTTTTTCACTCATGGTTAGTGGTTGGGTGAAGCCATTTATTGTCAAACAACTGTGTCTACTCTTTTTAAATCATAATGACAACAGAAACTCCCCAAATGACCCTGATCAAAAGTTTACATACCCTTGTGATACTGGCCTGATAACATGCACACAAGTTGACACAAACGGGTTTGAATGGCTACTAAAGGTAACAATCCTTACCTGTGATCTGTTTGTGTGTAATTACTGTGTGTATGTAAAATGTCAGTGAGGTTCTGGGCTCCCGTCAGACCCTTACATCTTTCATCCAGTGCTACACTCACTGATGTTTCTGGATTCTGAGTCATGGGGCAAGCAAAATAATTGTCAAAGGATCTGCAGAAAAGATAATTGAACTGTATAAAACAGGAAAGGGATATAAAAAGATATCCAAGGAATTGAGAATGCCAATCAGCAGTGTTCAAAATCTAATTAAGAAGTGGAAAATGAGGGATTCTGTTGAAACCAAACCATGGTCAGGTAGACCAACAAAAATTTCAGCCACAGCTGCCAGGAAAATTGTTCGGGACGCAAAGAAAAACCCACAAATAACTTCAGTTGAAATACAGGACTCTCTGAAAAAAAGTGATGCGGCTGTTTCAAGATGCACAATAAGGAAGCATTGAAGAAAAATGGGCTGCATGGTCGAGTAGCCAGAAGAAAGCCATTACTACGCAAATGCCACAAAGCATTGTGCTTACAATACGCCAAACAGCACAGAGACAAGCCTCAAAACTTCTGTCGTTTGGAGCAATGAGACCAAAAAAGAACTTTTTGGCCACAACCATAAAGGTTACATTTGGAAAGGAGTCAACAAGGCCTATGATGAAAGGTACACCATTCCTTCTGTGAAACACAGAGGTTGAACTGTTGATGTTTTGAGCATGTGTGAGCTACAAAGGCACAGGAAATTTGGTCAAAATTGATGGCAAGATGAATGCAGCATGTTATCAGAAAATACTGCAGGAAAATTTGTTGCTAATGATTTGATTTGAATGATATGGACCTTAGTTTTGGTTAACAGGCAGTTTGTTTTGTTTGTTTTATTCTACAAACTGTAGAATAGATGCCGGTGTCCACACACCAGCAGACATTTTTTTATCAGTTATAAAAGGTAAAAAAAAAAACCTGCATATGGAGGTTGGTAATTCTTTGGATGAGCAAAAATAGACATGGCACTAGGTTATTTTATTCATGAAACAGATCCTCACCTGAGTTTAATGAGAATTATGGCATGCACAGGCTATACCAAGCTGGAAAAATAAACTGCATTGTACTGAACTGTACATGATCAAACATTTTTTGTGTCACAGTTGAATTATATTTAAATGGTGTGCATGGGGTTGATATAGCTCCAATATGATGGCATGTGGCAGGGTGTTTTGAGGAAATGTTCTTATTTTTACAAGATGCTTAACCCACACGTAGAAGCAGATGTAAATATATGTTGGCACCTCAGTATCTGAGAGCAGCCCGGTCGGTCCGGGTCAGGATTGTGTTCAGTCTAATCAGATCTCGCAAAGCGATGTGACGCATCATCATCACAATGAGGAAGAAGACGTGTTTTTGGGGCAGACAGAGGGGGCATCAGGACTGAAACCAGAATCAGGGCTGATCATTCTCTGGTCTATTTTCTGACTGTTCTCTGGTCATCTTCCACAGATCTGAAATAGATCAGGTCCGCTTTTTGGATTGAGACAATGGTGCGCCAATCACAGACAAACACTTAAGACCCTGATATGTTTCTTAGCAAAACAAGTGCCTACGTAATTCATGGAAACAGCAGTGATTAACACACAACTGTAATAATTATTTTCATTATCAGTCAAACTTCTGTGAACCATGTAGGACTGAAATGTAGAGTTACTGTTCAACTGTTTATCATCGTTTTTGGGTTGAATTTTCTTACAACTAGTTACAAATGGATGGGTGGATAGATTAAAGGACAATTAATAAAGGATTATTTAGATGTCACAGTAGCTACAAACTAATTTTCTATTCAGTCTGTCTGCTCTCAGATTCAGTTGTAGATCTTTCAGTGCAACAATAAGTGCATTTGCCCAAATTGTTCAGTCCAATTCTGTAACTCCTGTTATCCGAACAGTTAATTTCAGAAATCTATGTTGACGTATTTGCCGTGTGGAACCGAAACTCTGAAGTACAACTTCCATTGCATTAGCAGTGGGCCAGTTGTCTATCAGCTAAAGCCCCGTGTCAGACTTAACCCTTAAAGCTGTGCTTTTTATCAATCTGGTATAACATGTTAACTCATACTACACAGTTTAGTTGGCCTTCCTGCGCTGGATTTCTTCTTATCGACCATATGTAGCAGTTTGAGAGCCTTAAATATAACAGTATTAAGGTCAATTGCACATTTCTTGTGTTTTGTCTGCACCGAAAACGTATTAAGTTGTGACCCCAAAACCGGGTACATACCAACTGTGTAACTAGTGTAGTGTTTACACTACCACACATCAAGTTTAAATTCAGTGCACTCATACACGGTAAATTAATTGTCGGAACCCAAAATTGTGATTGTGATTAATATTTCATCAATTGTACAGTCCTTGTTCCCACCACCAGCTGCAACGCATCATGAGAACCAAGATAGCGTCTTCATAATGGTCACCAGGTTGGGGGTGAAAAGCTGGACATTTCCCACTCTCAGTGGTTACACAGAAGAAGAGAAGAGGCCATTAACTCGATTAAAGTAAAAATGGCATACACAATAAGCATAGCTGTGCTGTTGTCAAACAGAAACCCTCAAGATATGTATTGGGCTCATTCAGCAATCTGTAGTGATTCAGTACCACAAAACATGAATGAATCTAGCAGATAGAAAGATGGAGGTAATCGCGGTCACATGCAGCGATTGTCATTTTCAGTAAATGGTAAGCTTGTCGTGTTTGATTTGAGGCAACACTACCCTCAAAATTCCTAGTACATAGCATGCACTGAGCACTACGTAGAAGTAGTAGCATTTGATTGTATTGTACTGGCTGACAGTGGAGGACAGATGGTGCCCTGGGAGTGTGGCTGTGGTCCCACCTGACAGCAACAAGGGTCTGGGGTGATCCATTCACAAGTGAACAGCTTTCTGTAAGTTCACACCTGGGCTGTGTCTGAAATCACTCCCTATGCTCTATATAGTGCACTATATAGGGTGTACGCCATTTTGTAGGGGTGTCCAAATGTTAAGCTACAAATGTTACACCCCATATAGTGCACTCAAAATATCCCACAATGCGCCGTGAAAAGCCGATGGTCACTAACCGAGCAATATATACATCACTATACAGCAACATATTACATCACTTTATTTAAATTGCTTGAAGTCACTGGATCCTGAAGAAACGTTCTCTCATCTGGTATGTACAGCAAAATGACAATAAACTTGATTTAATTTGATTTCTGAGCTATGCAATAAACTGTGAATTTGATGTGTTTGTACTACGCTGTTGCGGCACAAATCGCGGTTAACGAGCGACATAATTAATAACTGGAGTAGTGTCGGAAATGTTACTTTGCCGAGGTACTCCCTACATAGTACACTATATAGTGATCCCTATGTAGTGAGTAGGGAGTAAGGAGTGAATGGGTGATTTCGGACACAGCTCTGGTATCAGAATGTATCACGTGTGTTTCCTGTGGCCACACCGACCCATGCTGTACGCAAATAAATGTGTGCCTCAGTTCCGCTGCTGTATTATTGAACCATCCATCCATTACCTATACAACACTTAATCCTCACTAGGGTCGCGAGGGTGGGGGCTGGAGCCTATCCCAGCTGACTTAGGGCGAAGGCAGGGGACACACTGGACAGGTCGCCAGTCCATCGCAGGGCCACACTTAGAGACAGACAACCAAGCACACTCACATTCACACCTACGGACAATTTAGAATCACCAATTAACCTCAGCGTGTTTTTGGACTGTGTGGAAGGAAGCCGGAGAGCCCGGAGAGAACCCACGCAGAACATGCAAACTCCACGCAGAAAGATTCCAGTGCCTCCACCGGGACGCGAACCAGCAACCTTCTTGCTGCTAGTCAACAGTGCTAATTTTATATATATATAAGGTAATTAAAATTCACTATTTTGCCAGTTTTTTTTTGCTATTTTTGTTTGTAGTTGGACTTCAACAGGACCAGGTTGTCCCGCAAATGAGTGCACACTTCCCGCTTACGCAATACACGTCAGCAGTGTGGGCGGTCCTTCCCTGTGGCCCAGGACGCGTCACAGACACACCTGTGCTCACAGCTGTCCACTCGTGATGGGACCGCTCCAGATGCATGCCCATACCAGGTGTGAATAGGCCTTACAGCTTCCCTGAACTATCTGTTCCGCTCCCCAGCCACACTCTGGACCGGACCAGGACCAGTCTGCCTGCAGAACCGCTAAACAGGTGGACCTCCAGGTGTGCTGCACTCTCACCTGAGGGGGGCGGGGGACAGGGAGGGGTCGGGTCTGGTTTCAGGGCGCGGTGCTCTTGATGCTTCAGTCCTGCAGCTCACGAAGCATCATTGGTAGGACAGGAGACGACGGCGGCTCGGCTCGGGTCTGCTCAGCTCAGCTCGGCTCGGCTCGGCCCGGCAGGCTGCAGCTCCACCCGCCGCTCCTCCAGGCTCCTGAGCTCCGAGGCTCCAGCTGTGATCGCCGTGTGCTTAAGGCAGGAGAAGAGCGGCTGAGCTCGGCCTCCGGTCCGTCAGCTGCCGCTCTGCCGCCATTCCGCTGGAAGTGACTCGGTTCAGCGTCCGTTCGGTGTCGGCGGGCTGCTGCTACTTCTCATCTTCCTTTTTCACGGCAGAAGGGCCGAGGCTGCAGAAAGGAAGGAGGAAAGGAAGAAAACGCGAGCGGCCTGATGGGAAATGTAGTCCACGTCCTGCAGGGCGCACACCCAATGGAGGTTTTTAAAAACTACAGCTCCCGGAATGCATCACTCCGGATAGGGTCATGATGGCATTTGGAGTTTGACAAAGTGGAGTCCTTACTTCAGTAGAAAATTACTCCATCATAAGTAAACGTAGTGCTTTTAAAAACCCTCACATTAGTTATCAGGTTGATATGTTTAAAATATCAAACACCCTCAGTGCTTCACGGTGTATGTCCTATTACTGTTGAATTATTGATAATTTATTATTCAACCTATTAACCTATAAAATGTTGACTCTGCTTCCCAGAGCTCTAATGCTGCACTGGATTTAGAGTTTTTTTTGCCTGGTTGTACTTTTTTTTCTGATGTTCCACCAGTGAGAGACTGTCACAAACCATGACTAAATCAGGTGGACAACTGCAGCTACAGGCAATCTGAGATCAAGGGAATCAGTGAAACAAGTTAGTTTTGTTTATTTCTGTTTGTATATCAAAATGAAACTGAAAAATGTTCTATCCATAGGGCAGTGCATTCGTAAATACAATTTTTTTTTAATGGAAAGTCTTTGACAAAAACTGAAAGTAACCCATGCCTACAGCAGTCTGATGGATTTAGGGCATGAAAAGTAAAACATTTCCACTGAAACATGTATTTGCTTGATTTTAATAGAAGAAGATGGACTACACAAAGTCTGACAAAAATTTAAACATAGATTACATTTGTTGTGAGTAAAGTTGGTTTTCTTTAGTAAGTTGTACTGGTATGGTCTGCTATTCAATAGTTTTTTATGTAGATATTATTAACCTTGTGGAATACAAGTATAAATGAGTAGGAAATGGCAATGCTTCAAGTAGTGTTGCACGGTATACTGACACTGGAAAAATACAGTGATGCCTCACACTTAATATCTACTCTAGATTCAGTTTTGTTACAATTGACAGTGAAAACTATCAGAGCTCCAGGACATGACTGCAAATCCAAGCACTGATGCTGACTGGCCCCAGCTCATGGATAAGTCTGACACATGACAGGGAAGGAAAGCTCACACAAAGTCCATCTGCAAAGCCAGTTTTGGCAGAGGAGCCATCACATGAAAATACCTGAAACATCTCACTGACAGACATACTGACTTGTACAAAGAATTCAAATAGCAAATGTGGTAGATAATATAAAAGTCAAACGAGTGACATAATTAGCCACTAGCCATGATGAGTGATAAACTCAGCTTTATCTTTTCAGTTTACTGACCAATGTGGAGCACATCTCTATGTGCAAACATAACTTCACCATGCTAAAAGTCCATTATAATGATCAGTTCATACTGAGTCAGTGCTGGTGATGGTGAACATGGCAACAACATTTTTGTAAATAATTGATTCAGTTACGACAAAATGTGCTCAGCACATCACAGACCTGTGTTCAGTCTATTAAAAGCTTTTCAGTAAGTGATATCTCCCTGGACATATAGAGCTCATTGTAAAATAAATTCATAACATAAAGGGTTCATTAGAATCCATACCATGTGAACGCTTTAACAACACAATGACATCAATCTAATTATTTACAACAATCCAGCGTTCATGTTATAAATGTACTAATTCATTGTCAGAAACAGACCTACCTATATGACAAAGTCAACAAACCATTTACCAGCACAAGAAACACATTTATACTAAGTATTAACATAAAGTACATGAACGTCTGACTGTAAGTCTGGCACTTGAAGGGATGAAGCTCAAACCAGGATTGTTATCCTGCTCACTGCAGCAGAGCACTAAAGTAGACGGAACCCAAAAGTCAGGTCAGTTCAGGCTTAGCAGAGCTCTGAGTATTTTCTAATTTTCTATTTAGTCAAATTACTTTTATACACTAATATGAATCTCAAAGATGGTTTACAATGTACATTGTTTTAACAAACATTTAATGTTATGGTCATGATACTGATAATGTGATTTAGTGGAAGCACACAAAGCTGTGCAGGAGCAGACTGGCCAGTGAAAGAGGCTCTCTTGGATTTAAGATCAACCACAAGGCCTCTGAGCAACTTGAATTCCTACAGAAGAGTCCAAGTGTGTCATTAAAATGTGCACTACCGTGATTATTAAAACAAAGCCATTTTAAGTTTC